CTCAACGGTTTGTGCAATATCTGCTATTGGTCTAGATTCGACAAATCCTGACGCGGCACGAGTTGGCGATGATGTTTTACTGTATTATACGAGTCTCTTTTAGTGTATTTATACGAATACAATCACAATTTTTTTCACCATTTTATACAAATCTGTATTATATGAACCCGTTTTGTAGGGAGGTCTACTGTGTCGCATTTCTGTAAACTATCTCATTTAAAAGTGCATTAAGTGCTATTTTTGTTACTAATTTTCTGTCTTGCATTGATTATGGATTACTAATTTGATTTATGGCCTTCCCTTTTGGTAAGATTGCTAGAGTTCTTGATAATTTATTTATCTTTTAATAAATTATGCATTTTACCATATACACAAAATACTAGCTTTGCTGGGATTAGATTAGGTTTACCCTCATTTTTTGAGCATATCAAATATTTTGATTGTTTACTTTATTTTAAATTTTTTAATGGCTTTATTTATTATGATTGGGTTTTTTCTATGTATCCCACTGAAAACTTAAATCCTTCATCTTGTGTGTTTACTCCATTTTTTTTGTTTGAGTGTATATCAAGGATTTTTTACCATATTTCTGAAAAATTAAATAATTTTGGTTCTTAATTTTACTTGCTTTCAATTAAAATGTAAAAAGCACAATGTATAATTTTTAATTTTATGTAATTTGTTGTCTTTGGTTTTTATATATATTTGTTAATTTTTGATGTAGATATCAACTGTCCTTTGGGACTTTTTTATGTGTATAAATAAATATATATTAAAAAAATTTCTTTATTGATAATTCATTCATAATTTTCATTAACTTACGTTTAGGAGATATGTTTTGTGGCCAAAAAGAGGAGGAAAAACATTTAAAATTGAAGATTTTATTCATATTAGCATTTACAGTTTTTTACAAAACTCTCCTCTACCCTCGAAATTAAGCTTTTTGCTATTTTACGATGATGATGATATAAAAACTTTTAAAGTAAAATATCATAACAGATGGTGCTCCACACAATTTTGAATGTTGTTGCTAGGAAAGTTATTTGCTGGATTTTTTTTTCAATTGTTATACTATCTTTCTTTTTTATGAGAAAGACACCACTGGGTATCTGAATATTTTTATCTAAAATTTATCTATAAAAAGTTGTACTAAAATTTATGGTGAGAATAAAAGAAAATGGATATGACAAATTTACTTTTGAAAATCTCTCAAGTACCTAAATAAACAAACATTCTGTATCTTAATAGCCAAAAGAATTCCTCTTTTATTAGTTAATTATCAAAAATTGATTTAAATTTAATTATTTTAAAGAAAAAAGTTAAGCACAATAAAATACAAAAAAACAACAATTTGATAATGCAAAAACAACAAATGACGTAATAAATTGGTCTGAAAAATAGTCTCTCTCTCTCTCTCTCCAGCTACCATGAGAATAGTTAATTTCCTACTGATATTGGTAAATTCAAGTATATAGTAGAATTTTAAAATATGAAATTTGGGAAAAACCAGTCATCTTGAACTGATGCTTACAATTGTGCTATGAGAGCTTAAATCAATGAATGAGCTAGAAGCTATAATTAATTAGTTTTGCAGTTCTCCCCCCTTTTAGTTTGTTGCGGTTAATTTTTATATTGATTTTATTTTTTTCCTTGTTTTTCTATTCACTGTTTTAAGATCAAATTGTTATAGAAGCAATAATAGTCATAAATAGCTTGCAACCAATAGAAAGGTAGTGAAAAAATTAATTAGTTAATTTAATTAAATTTGTCAAAAAAACAATTTATATTTAAATAAAAACATCAGAGGTATAAAAAAATATTGTACCAAGTAAAAATTATGGCACTTGAAATGAAAGTCAAATATTTTTCTGGGTGTTTTACCTAGGTAAATTAGCTGTACAACATTTTCAATAGTGTGAAATAGTAAATTTAAAATTGTTTGTTTAACATTATAGATATAGGAATGTTGTTTTAACAACCCAGATGTATTTGAATTCAAAAATTGTCAAAACTATTTTTTTAAGTTAATTAATAAAAAAAGAGGAAACAAAATTACATGAGAGACCCAAAAATAATGGGACTAATTTTGTAGAGGGTAGGAGGTTCATTGTATGTGTATCCGCTGCTAGATGTCAGTAGACAGAATCAGTGTGCAAAGTGGTGTCGGTATATCAAGACTTGTTGACCTGTAACAAATTTTTTTTTTTTTTTGTGAGAGCTGTTTTTGTTGAAAACGTGATTTCAGATTTTAAAGAGCAATGCACTGCTGTGAAATTTTGTTTTCTGTTAGGGAAAAGTGGATCGGAAACAGTTGAAATGATTCAATGTGCTTACAAACAAGATGCCATGAGTAAAACAAGGGTTTATGAGTAGTTTTCTGTCTTTCAAAAAGGAGAAATGTCTCTTGAAGATCAACTCAGGTCTGGGCATCCATCCAATGTTCAAACTGACGACAATGTTTAGAAAATTTGCAATCTCATCAACAAAGTTTGCCATCAAACCATTGATGAACTCATTGATTTGTCTGGGATTTTATGGAGTTCAATTCAGTGAATTTTGTCACAAGAACTTGGCATCAGAAGAGTTTCCACAAAATTTGTTTTGTGCTTGTTGACTGCTGATTATTTGGTAGCTTCTCAGGCTTTGAAAGAACATTTGGAAAATGATACAGACTTGTTTTCTAAGGTGATAACTGGCGATGAATTGTGGTGTTATGGTTACAATCCAGAAACCAAACATCAGTCCATGCAGTGGAAAACATCAGGATCTCCTCATCCCAAAAAAGCAAGACAAATGAAGTCAAATGTGAAAACCATGTTAATCTGTTTTTGATGTGAAAGGAATTGTTCGTTCTGAATTCATCTATCCGGGTCAGACAGTCAATTGGCATTGTTATCTGGAAGTCCTCAAAAGATTTTGTGATGCTGTGAGAACGAAAAGAAGGAACTTATGGCAAATGGGGATTGGTTTTTTATCACAACAATGCACCCGCTCATGGTGCTCTCTGTGCATCTATTATTGACAAGAAATGGCATGACCTTCCTCTCCACCCCCATATTTGCATGATTTTGTACCTTGCAATTTTTTTTTGTTTGTCAGGATGAAGAGGGAACTCAAAAGGAAGCATTTCAGACAGTAGAAGAGGTGAAAACAGAAATGACAGAGGTGCTAAGAGGCATTTTGGAACAGGAATTTTCTAAGTGTTTTGAACAATGGAAAAAAATGTTTGGACAAGTGTATTGAGGCTAATGAAGAGTATTTTGAAGGAGATTGAAGTTGTTAAAATAAGTTGTTAAATATGAAGTTGTTAAAATAAATACATGATTTATTTCTGAGTTTTTTCCCATTATTTTTGAGTCCTTCCATATATACATCATTCCAAAATGCATTTATAACAATAAATTAAACAAATAAAGTCATCATCATCAAAAACCTTTGGATGTTTGAAGTTCTACGAGGGTCATTCAATAAGTCCTTAGAAAAAGATAGAAAAACAAATTATTTTAGGTAGATTTTTTTTTTATTTTTCAACATAATCTCCTTTAAGCTCTATACACTTTTCCAAGCGTTTCTCCAACTTTTTTAAGCCATCTAAAAAGTAAGATTTCAGAAGGTCCTCAAAATAGGCATTTGTTTGGGCAATGACCATCTCGTTTGATGTGAATCGTTGTCCACCAAGCCATTTTTTTAAATTTGGAAATAAAAAAAAGTCACTGGGGGCCAAATCCGGTGAATACGGTGGATGTGGTAATAATTCAAACTTTAATTCCGTGATTTTGGCCATTGAAACTGCACAGGTGTGCACCCGTGCATTGTCTTGATGGAAGAGGATCTTTTTCTTTTTCAAATGAGGACGTTTTTCCTTGATTTCTTCGCTCAACCGGTGCAATAANTAATTTATTAATTATGATTAAAATACAGAGTGGGGTATAAGTAATGCCCTTAAGAAATTTTTAAAAATTTTAAATTTTATTGAACAAAAATTACATAAATACAAGAACAAAAAATACAACAACAAAAATATAATGATTTAATATTAATGGACATGCTCAAAATGTTCCCCTTCATATTCAATACAATGCTGAACTCTACAAGCAACACTTTTATAAACTTTGACACATTTCCATGGTAATTACAGAAAATTTCTATGCAGTTACTTGTTTTAATTTAGGAATTGTTTTTTGGTTTGAGACTGTAAACCTGATCGTTCAATACACCCCACAAAAAATGTCTGTTGGTGGTAGGTCTGCTGATCATGATGGTGACTCGGTATGTCCTCGTTGTCCTATCCATCTCTCAAAATTTTGATTTAACCATTTCTGAACATTTAAAGAAAAGATACAGTATAAGATATATGTAAAGTAATTTCATATAAAATTAAAACATATAAATTTTTGCAGTACTAATAGAAATTAAAAAGGGCATAAGTAATGCCCCACCCTGTATATTGAAACTTATGCCTCACCCTGTATATTGAAAATTACATTTCTTTTGTATCAGAATTTTCAGCCCTAGACAAAATAAATTAGGTTAACCAAATATCAATGAAATTTTAATTTATAATTTTATTATATTTTAAATCAATTATTAAATAATTTGGCCTAAAGGTAAGTTGAGCAGTGCTGCAATCTTTATTTGTTTTAATAATTACAACTTAAATTTGATATTGATTTAATCATCAAAATTAATTATATTTGATAATCATAGATGTTTATTTTAATAATTTAAATAAATGATAATCATCATTTTTCTTTTGATCAATTATTGAACTGATCTAAAAATGAATTTTAGTCCAAAAAATCTTTGGCAATATTTGGCTAAATGTTACATAAAAATATCTTCAATTTTGACATTTTGCGAAAACAATTAAACAAGATTCTTTTTAAATATTGTCCATTACGCATCCATTTGCAGATGAACTATATTAAATGTTATTTATTCTCAATAATGAGTTTTATTTAATATTCTTGGAAAATTTATACATTTGTTTTTATATTTTCAGAATGTCTGATAAAAGTAGTCCAGTTCATTATTTTAACAGTGTAGGGGATCATTATGATCCAGAATTTACACGAGAAATTAGCTCTAAAATGCTAGTACCTGATAGAATTAGTGTGATTGGGGAAAACAGTGCACAGTTATCGGAAAGATCACATTTATTATCTGAGCAACAAAAATTAATTATGAATGTTCCAGAAAGAATTCTTGTTGCTGGTAAGTATTTTAGATTAAAATATTGTAAATTATGCATCTGAAATACATACATGTTGCAAATTCTAAAATTAATTTTAGAAGATAATTGTTTTTCACAGATATTGGAAAGATACAGAAAAATTTAGTTGCAATATTACATGTATTTTTATATGCAATATTTATATGCCCTTTTTTCATCACTGAGACAAATTTGTTGATAGTTTGTAGTCTGATAATGTATCAACAAAATTAAATGAATTAATTCAGCTCTGAATTATCTGAGCAAATACTGAAGTTATAATTTATGAGGTTAGCTGATTGGATGGAAAGTGTCACAACAATCGAGCAGTCATTACAGTCATGTGGGCGTGGAAAGACTTGTGGAGACAGATTTACCATTTAAAACCGTTTAATAAACACATAAATTTTCTTACAACTATTCTTATAATGAGGTGTAATGCCTATCCAAAGGTGGGAAACAAGTCCATTCAAAAAGTCCAAATGTTCTGACAATTGTTTCGTTTCTTCCAGTCAAGGTGATATGGAGAGATGGCCCTGGGGTGCACAGCACAACTTGCAGATATGACCTCCGATGACTAGGTGTACCTGTGTGAATCTTGAGGGGACTGGATAGTGAAAACGAACCCTGGGACGTTGAACAAGCTTTTCTTGTTGAAGGACAGAAGCACAAAATCTGAGAGGAGCACTATGAACCAAGAACTTTCCATCCTTGAAACATGCAGTTTTAAAAGTTTTTCTCTTAAAGCTGCCTTTTCATTGGTTCTGACTTGTTACCTGGTGACAATTCAAAACCGATTGGAGGGTGCAGGAGAGGTCAGTTTCGCGACTAAATATGACTCTTCTCCATCCATGTTTCCCTTGACTTTAGTCTTTTCTATTGTTTAAATAATTTTTAAAAAACTTCCATTGTTTAATCAAGATCTTTAATTTCTCCCTTTCAAATTGAAAAAGGAGATTTTTAATTTCTCAATTAATAGTCTCCATTTGGATCTCTATGTTGACTTCCTTCTGGGACCTCACAAATTCATCATGAGTCATTAGGCCACTGAATTCCTTGAGTTATTGCCACTGAAAGTTGTTAACGACCATGAATTCCAGAATGCATGGTCGTTAACAACTTTCATTGCATGTACTGACTCTGCTGCCTTCTGGTAGTCCTCTTTATCTTTCCACAGGTCAGGATCTACAGTGAGAAATGTATCTGAAAGTTCCATTAATTTAAATAGAGTCCGTGACTTCACAAATATAAAGTCCTTGAGATTTTTTTTTCTGTGAATGTGTCCAGATCAACACTGATTCACTTAGTGTGACCCTGTTCAGTGTTGTCATCATTTTGAATTGCTGTAATTATTAGCTTCTTTGTAGCAGAACTTACACAGTTGTCAAAAAAAGCTAAAGCAATCAAATTTGAGACAAATACCGTAAGTGTTTAGAAAATTTGAGAGATGCTGCCTTTGATATTGTCATGTTGATTGCCAAGTATTCAAGAATTGATTTCAGAAGATGAAAGTCTTTGTTAGGAGCACTGGCTGCCAATGGAGCTGAAATCCATGCTTTCAAGTACACACATGCAGCAAAGACACACACATCCTGTAGCCTTCTCTTCTCTTTTTGTTAAGTGGAACTGGCTCCTAAACATCCACACCTTCAAACTGTAAATTACTTTTGAGAGTATGAGTCACTGAGTCAGCCTCAACTAGAAACAGGAAAAAACATTTGCAGCAAGACTTGATGGTATCAGCAAAATAATGATCACAAGTCATGACAGAAATTAATTTTGTGGGAATGTCATGTAACTAATATATGATTAATTTAATGGTTTATTTATTGAGATGACCAGTTACAGTTTTACAAACTGTTGTACTAAAATGGATACATTGTGGTTGAAGCTTGTGATTGTGATATGCTCATCTTTACTTTTTGTAACCTATAAAACTTCAGTGACATTGAGTTAACAGTAAATATTCACCAATGGAGTAGATTTTTGGCACAAATTTTTTCTATGTATATTTGAATGGAAATACAAGGTAGGACATTCGTGTTTTCAAATTGTGAAAATGAACTCCACACTATTAAACATTATATATACATTTTAAACTATCATTTTTATATTTTAAATTTATAACAAAATCAATATACTAAGAGAAGTATAACCATAGTTGAGTCTCCATATTTGCATATTTGTGTTTTTACAATAGTATTTGTAGAATATACTGAATTTGGTTGCTGCTCACTGTATTTACTGAGTAATGGTGGGTTATATGAGTAGGTTAGTTTATGGCCTTTGTATATTGTGTATGTATTGTGAATTCTTTGGTGCATACCTTATTCTTAACCATATAATAAAATTTTTAATAGTATTTTCATAAACATGGATCTAAAATGTTACTCATTATTATAAGACACAAAACCTTTTAAATAAATTTAAACATTTCTGTTAATTGCAAATGGTTGCATAAGTTACTATAAATAAAAATCACCTTCTTAATCTCAGCAATGTATTTATTAAAATATAAAATGTTTTTGATCAGTTTGACTGACCTTCAGTTACATCGAATAAAAGAATACATTTAAAAATAGAAAGCTATGTATTCAATGTAACTGAAGGTGGTCAGTCAAACTGATCAAAAATGTTTTTAATTTTAATAAATATGTTTCTAGGATAAAGGTAATTTTTATTTTTTTTAATTTTTACTAAATTTTTTCCTAGTTTAATGCCACCAATTTGGTTGCATTAGTGTTTAGGCATATGTAGGAAACATATTATAGAGCAGTTTAGATGAGTGCAATGTTCTCTCCAAGCTGTATGGCCATTCATTGATATCTAAGGAGTTGCCTGGATGCTTTTACTTCCTGCACACACAGCCAACAGCAGGACATTACATAAAACATTCGTAATGATCCAAATAATTTCTGTATACAGGGTGATTTGGTAGGAATACAATATTCCAGGAAATAATAGTACAAGTGATTCTAAGCAAAAAAGTTCATATGAACATGTATTGGATTTCTTGTCTGAAATTTTTTGTTTGGGTGCATTTTAGCACTGTGCAGCAATATGAAAAATTAGAAGAACATTGGATGAGAGTATAGATTTTTGCAGGAATTGTCAATATATAAACTCCATAAATACGAAGACTCAACTTTAAAATGTAGTTTCAAACTTAAATAAAAACTAATTTATAAATTATATAAATAAATTAANTATTCATTTTATAAATTATTTTTAAGGTGGTGATAAACACATAGGAGGAAGAGAACCTCTCCCAGAACTGCGTTTGGAATCAAATTTAATGCTGAATCCTTTTCCTGGTGTTCAGCTTTCGACACCACCTCATGTTATTACTTTAGATGAACATCACTATCCATCAGTTGTCGAGAAATCCGGTGAATCTAAAACAAAATCTAAGAGATTATTTACAGATTCTGATGTACCTGTTGATCAGGAACATCAAAGGTAAATTTTGTTTATTCAGTATAGAGTTACTGTTTCATATATGTAGAATTTATCAAAATATTAAAAAACTTTTGTACTTTTTCATAAATACAAAATATTATTTCATCTCACTTTTAACATTGAACACAGTTAAGTATTGTGAAATTTGAAAATGTTTTTTGTTCTTTGCATTCTTATTATGCTTTTACTTGAATTTATGATTGATGATTATTTTAGTAAATGAAATCCATGTACAGAATACAGATACAGATCATGCAAAAGGTTTTGTGCTACCTGAAAAATAATAATCATATGATGGATAATGATACAGAAAATTTCATAGTTTTAAGCAAGTACAAGAGCAAAAGTTATGTTGACTGCAACAAAAGCATTTTTTCATAAATATAAGACATCATCATCACATCAAAACACTTTTAGAAAAAAAAACTTTTATGCAAATTACTTATTATACTGGGTCAGGCACATTACAGAGTAAGGTAAAAGATTGAAAAATTTATGATTAGATGTATTGCAGACAATTACAGCTGCTCAATCAACGTGACACAAAGTTATAATCTTAGTGAGTCTGAAATACAACAAATGTACTGTCAGAGTAGAGAAGACAAATCAAAAAGGCAAATTGCTGTCCTAATTGGATTTTCTAAAATTGTTGTCTTTTGCTAAAACATTATGTGCAATGATTATGGCACTTCTAGGAAAAGTGGCAGATCATCTGTACTTCCTCCTAGGTTAGTTTTTTTGCATGTCATTATATTTATGTCTTATAATTATTATTAATGAAAATAATTAAATAAACTTATTTCACTGCAAATTTTGCAATATATTTATAAATACTAATTTCTTGAATTTACAACTTGTGTTAACAATTTTGTTATATATGAAGAAGTATAGCATTAATTTTTCTGTAATTTTCTTGGTTTTAAAAAAATGAAACTTATGATTTGGTAATTTGTATTTAAATTTTCTTGATTAAAAATAATAATTTTTGAATTGCCTAAATACTTCTATATGCATAATATAATGGTAAGTTTTATAGATAAAATGTTTTTATCTAAATGATTTGAAAAGACCAATGATATTATCTGTACTTACTCAAAAACAAAATGTTTTGAGATGCTTCTCAAATCTTTAATTATTGTATGCATTCAATTTTTAATTATAAGTAGAATACAAATAAACAGCAAGTCCTGGCCTAACATTGTTGATAGGTTCTTGGAAATTGCAATGTTAAGGAAAACTGAAATGTAACAAAACCAGTTTTATCATAGGCTAAATAATAGAAACAAGATATAATTTGGTTAATGTTATTCTGTTTGCAACCTCCAGCATTTATTTTCCATCTCAGAATGTTTTGCTGTTTATAAAGAAAATTCCAGAATAATAATTATATGTATGTATAATGGTACAGTACATATGTACTGTACTTGTATCTTTCCTTGATAATGAAAATGAAAATGTTAAGTGAGGACTTGTACTGTTTTAAAAAATTTTATTACAGATTTTATAATAGAATATTGTTAATACAGTAGAGCGTCGTTTATCTGAATCAATTGGGGACTGGGGTTGTTCAGATAACTTATTTTTTAGATAACCGATTATGTACGAAAAAATACATTAACCTATCCCATGTTGAAATTTTTCTCTGTTGCATGTCACTTCGCATTGAATTTTCGTCGATGTTAAGCCTAATGTAAACTTTTTAAAATAATAATCGTGGCTATTGTATCGTTAAAAATTATTTTTTTTAATTTTTACTAAATTTTTTCCTAGTTTAATGCCACCAATTTGGTTGCATTAGTGTTTAGGCATATGTAGGAAACATATTATAGAGCAGTTTAGATGAGTGCAATGTTCTCTCCAAGCTGTATGGCCATTCATTGATATCTAAGGAGTTGCCTGGATGCTTTTACTTCCTGCACNGTAGGAGGAAATTCGCCTATTTTACCGATCTAGGGATCCCCTTTTCCAAATTTTAATATCGACTCAAAATAATTTAAAAAGACAAATTACAATAAAACGGTTTATTATCCAACTATCAGAAATTTCACAACATGCCAAGGAAGACAGGAAGGAGCAATTAAGTAATCAAAATTATAAACAATTAAACAATATATAAAAATGGGGAATATCGCATTTCTAACAATCTCTGTGAGTATGTGGGCTAAATTTTTTATCATAACAAGTTTGCTTGAATTTCGTTTCTTTTGAGATCACAGCAATGCGCGATGGGTAAGCTAGTTGTAGTAAAAACAGGAATAAAGCAAGATAATTTTAACATTAAAAAATGAAATACAGTATAAAAACTTCTGATATGTAAGCCAAAATGAATGTCATACAGAAACATCAAAATCATTCTTATACTATAATAATCATAGAAGTTTGCCACAGTAATTCCAAAAAAATTCTTAGTTGTTTTGTTATTTCTAACAGTATCTAAAATTGTAAAATAAGTCCAAAACTTTATGGACATTTTGACGTTAGTGAAAATTATGATGGATATGTTAAATAACATGGTAGTGGACAAAGTGTGTGTGTTGCTCAGAAAGTAAGAACTGTTTTTTCATTAAAAAAAAAGTTTTTGAATTCTTAATTTTTTTTCTTCATGCTCTCCATAAACATTTAGACATTTTTCATAATGATATATATGTTTTTAATATCCTCATTATAAAAATCATACATCTACTGCCAAAATAGTTCTTTAAATATTTTGAAAGATGGTAGTCCAACAGGACAAGATCTGGGGTCATATTCTGGTCTCTTATTTTTCATCTCTCCTTTCAGAGATGAATGACATCAAAATAAGAAATGAAACTTGTCTTCTGGAGATAGAGATGATTCTGGTCACTTATAATCTCATCTTTGTTGTTGATGTCGTGATTCTACTAGGTTGATTATACAAAGTGCAGTCAAAAAGTTCCAGGACTGGTGACTTAGCACTACAATCAGCCATGTACTGAATGTGCACAAACTAAGATGTGTGATAGACATCATTATTTAGCTTTCTGCCAAATTTCATGCTGTTATCATATATATAGTTTTTGTTTCTTGCTATTTAGATTAGATCCGTGTTTCATCGATATGCAATTTTCATTGCTTTGCAAAATGAATTCTTTTAATGAACAGTGAAATTTTGTTTCAAACTTGGAAAGACTGCAACAGACTTATACACAATGCTTATAGAAGCCTTTGGAGATAATTCATTGAGTTTCAAAAATGGACAAATGTCTTAATCATGCTCTTGGGGGGTTTTTTTGATAGGGGAGGGAATTATTCTTTGAGAATTTGTTCCACAAGGTCAAACTGAATAAAAATTTTTATATGGCATCCATATAAAAATTTTTATTCAGTTTTATTTTATTATTATATTTATTTTATTCAAATGAAAAAGACCAGATCTTTGGTAAACTCAGAACTAGTTATTGCATCATGACAACACAGCTATCTCTATTCAACAGTTTCTAAAATAAAATAGCTGTGGTTTCCCACTCTTCTTATTCACCAGACTTGACTTCGTGTGATTTTTATTATACTCTATACTAGTATACTTTTTGTTCTATTACTCAACTTGGGATGTACGTACCTGTTAACAAGATTTTGTCTTTTTTTTTTTTTTTTGAAACCGTGTCCTGTTTTATATTTGTGGTGTATTACGCCACAAAAATAATTATTTTATATTAATTACCAACAATTGCCTTGAAAGATTGGGCTAATTAATTTATTAAAAATTATAGTTATTAATTTAGTAACATATGGTGCCTAACGTTCACCTCTAGTGACAAATTACTTTATATTAATCATTTAATTAGTCGAATTATACTCATTGGGCTTAATGGTGTTTATTATTTATATATTTATTTTATATGTTACAAATAATTGCACGATTGTTTATGGTTTTTATGTATTTTCATAGATAAATCTTCGATATGATACTTCAATTGGAACTAACTTTTGTACTGATTTCATATACTACTCATAAAGTTTACCGACCTTTTATTGATAGTAAGTAATTTGCAACATTTTTCTTGCTGTATACAATTACGTATTTTTTTATTGAAAATTAGAATTTAAGGAAGAAGCTGACTTTATGTATGAATTTTTGCAATGTGTCTTTACTGTTTAATTAGTTTATTTATTTCAATTACAGTAATACCTCGACTTACATCGTTTCGAGTTACGTCGTTCCCGATTATATGTCGTTTGTCAAAAATGTATATGGAAAAATAAAAATCAAGTTTAAGTCATTTTATTCGACTTTACATCTGTCTACTACAAATATTGAAGTCGTAATATTACTAGAAAAACGTTTAAATCACATAAAGTCATATTAAAATTAGTGATGTAACGAATAGCATATTCGGCCGAATACCGAATATTCGGCCAGGAGTGTGGCCAAATAGCCAAATATTGGGCCAAACTATTCGGCTTGATCAACGCACGTACGAAAATTGGTGCGCAAATCGCATTATATGGCAAGGATCGCGCACCCTGCTCTCTATTGGCCCGCTGTCACTACAATTCTTCAATCGCGTTAATTCTTGACAGTTGTAGCGGACAGACATGAGCGTCATGGCAGTATGTTATAAGTGATGATATCAAATGTGGATAACAATGATATGACCTACACCTGTAAATAGAAAAGTTGCGGCCGAAGTTTTAAACGCGAAAACGTGTTCGTCGGACGTTCAGCGCCGACTTCCTGTAAGCTTACAAGTTTGACAATGGCGTTTGGAACGTCGAGCATAATTCCACTGACGTTCCAAACGCCATTGTCTTACGTCTAGGCTTACAGGAAAGCAGCGCTGAACGTCCGACGTACACGTTTTCACGTTGAAAACGTCGGCTGCAACCTCTCTAATAACTGAAAAAGAAGAGAGAGGACCGCGAAGTGAAAATGTGAAAATAAATATGAAATTGAGTTGATAACATAATCGAACANAACCTAACTACCATGTTATATGAAGGATATCTGTATATAAAAAACACAGATTTAATTAGTGGTAATAATACAATACAGTGTTTGTAAGAAACAGTTAAAACTTTCATTTTCTAATAATGACGAAAGCTTAGTTGCAGGGGTCACTCTGAAAAATTTTTAAAATATTGCCACTATTTCATCAGTTTTTAATTTTTTTTGTCACTTCAAATTATTTATTGCCACCAGTTTTACTTGTGAATTAAAGCAGGTGCTGATAACCTTATCAATTTGGCATCTGGAAAGCAAAAGTAACATGTTCAGCTGTCACAAGGAGAGGGCCAGATGTTTGGGTCTCTGATTAGAACAAAACTTGGTGAGCATATAATCTTAAACACAAATGGCTCCTTGTCCAAATAATAGAACCCATTTTTCAAGTGTTTCCAAAAAATGAGCCTCTAAAAATTTAGTGTTTAGCTCATAAGTCTTTGGAAATTTCAAATCCAAGAGTGGTAATAGCCGAGCGAATAAGACACTAAGCACTAAACCTAGCTGATGTAGGTTCACTCCTTCGAAATTTTAGTTTACTTTTTTACGTGTAACATTATTTTACCATATTATTACTTATTAGCATTATTATTACTTTTATTATTATTCACATTTAAAGCATGTAAAACACAAGATTAAAAATTGTGATGTCATTTCTTGTTAATGGAAAACGAGCCTCTGTAAATTTAACTCTTACATTATTAAATAAAATTTCCTAGGTATTTATTTTTAGATATGGTGGTATTGTGACATTCAGAGTGTAACAAACATTAGCACATCATGAAAATTATCCATAGTATTAACAATTAAAAAAATAAAATGCTGTGACTTGCTACTGTCTTCTTATATTACTTGTCGTCTTTGTCCATGCGCAGTAACATCCAAAGCCTATTTGTTTGTGAGGACACAGTATGTAAAATATGTGAAAATAAATGTGAAGAAATAAGTTTTATTTAATGATCTAAATAGTTAAATCTACAGAGGCTTGTTTTTGCTAAACAGGAAATGACATCACAATTTTTAAGCTCTTGTTTTATAATCTTTAAACATAAGGAATAATAATACTAATAATAATGCTAATGATGCAGTAAAATAATAAAATTATAATGTTACACATAAAAAGAAACAAATCTAAACTAAAATTTCATCTGGCTCTCTCCTTGTTATCAATAGGAATCAGTTTAGAATAATATTTTAATGAATAATTTCAAATAACACATTTGATCACAATGTTTAAACAGTATTTCATAGGTTCTGTCATGTCAAAATTTTTGTTTTAGTCTACTGAAAAAAGTCATCTCAAAAAGTTTCCTAAAATTTCTGTCAGTTGATGATAAATCCCAATCTGGAAATGCTGGGTGGCATTGCCCAAAATTACTTTTGGTTCTTGATGTCACTTCCTACTTTTCTTCCCGAACTTGCCTTGTGATATCATGAAATTGCTAGATGTTTGGTGCATGGGACTCCTGTTGTATGGAAACTTGACATTTTGCTGTTTTTCCTGAAGTGTGATTTGTGATGTAATTTCATGTTGAATGTCGAAACAAGCAGACTAGGATTTTATTGCCACTTTAATAAAAATTTCGCCAGGTGATGACTTTGACACTATGCAGTACAACCCCTGTAGTTGTTTCTGTTCATTAAAACTTCCTCATGCATAATGCAACTATAAAACTAAAGTTTGTTTTAAAATAAAATAAGGCCTAGACCTATAATAAACAAAGTAAAAATTAAGTAAGTTGAAGAATATAAACTTTTATTAAAATCAAGAAAGCAGGTAAATAGACTTGCTAACAATCATTATAGATGGTTAGATGGAAGAATGCTTAAGGTGTCAGTCTACTGCTCAGGGAACCCAGCAATGAATCTGGACAGATTGAAAAACCCCAGGAATTCTTCATGGGTGATCCACACTGGATATATCTGGTCCCATTCCTGACTATCCTACTGTCCATTGTGGGTCTGGCTGAATACCAGGCCCAAAATGGGCAAAAAATGCAGAAAAATTGACTGTGATAAAATTCAAGTTGAAATAATATTTGAAAATAGAAATTTTGATTGAAATTAATTAACACAACTGTTATGTATTTTCTAAGCCACTAAGAATACTGTCATATGATTAACATTTGTTTAATATTATAGAAATTGATTTAAAAATTAAAAAAGCCAAAAAGTACAGTTATCCCTATAACACTGCACTTATACAACACTGTTTCACTCTAACATGGTTTGAAAGTTGGGGAAATCTTCCATACAAAATTTCACAATTTTTAAGTGTAAATTCCGTTTTTTGATTTTTTTTTTTTATTCAAATAAGCAGGCTCAAATTTGCCCTTGGATTTTAGAATATTGAAATTTTCAATTTGTTTTGTGCATTTTAATCAGGTTTACTTTAATGAAAACTGATAGGACAAGGAAGAAAAAATTCTACTATCTTTCCTATCAACCAGGTATCATTGTTGTTTCTTTCAGATTTTAGCCCTTAAGACTGTCACTGTGTTTTCTTTTTATAGATTAATCTTTGTATCTAGTAAAGTTTATTTAAACATTTTTTAGGTAAGTGTTATTAAACCTTTTTTTTTTTATTTAATTTTTATGAATGATTAAACCATTCATAAAAATGACAAACGAAATACAGCGGTATCTCGGTATTCAAACAGTTACCAACTCAAACCATTTGATATTCGAACACACATTATGGGAAAAAATCACTCGGTACTCAACTGAACAAATACAACCCTCTAGAATAAATTTTCAATTAATAACATATTTTAGTTTTGTCATCCATAAAAAAATTATGATAAAAACAAAAAAGGTGAAGATGTTGCTGATATTTCTGATCAAGATCAACAAAAAAGCTCAGAAAACGATGATACTTTGTAAAAAGAAAATGCCCTTGTTTAACAAAAATTAATATTGACACGTCATACAGTACTTTGTGATTGTTAGTTAATTAATTATTGGAAATAAATTATTGATTGCTTTAATGAACATATTGCTCTTGGTAATGAAAAAGAATAATATACTTTTGTTAACTTTTGGAACATAACCCTAGTTTTGCATTAGCCCGTTGTTTCGTATAGCACGGATTCACATAATACCACTTTTTTTGGAACCTAACTACCATGTTATATGAAGGATATCTGTATATAAAAAACACAGATTTAATTAGTGGTAATAATACAATACAGTGTTTGTAAGAAACAGTTAAAACTTTCATTTTCTAATAATGACATCTTATAATAGGTAATAATAGAAGCAGTCATTATTAGAAGTAAACTGTGTAATACTATGCAAACTGTGATTTGCCTGGCATTACTCAGCAAATGACACTTAGATAACTGAAAATTAGTCTTACCTAGAACTATTAGATTTATTTATATACATTTTGGTACTGAGACAAAAGTAGGAAAAGAATCTCATTTTAATGTTGAGATTTGACCACAAATCTGACTTGCATTTTAAAATTATTTGTGATAAATATGCTAAAAATAATGTATATTTACTGTTTTTATCTTTATTCTGTAAAATTGATTTTAAAATTTATTAGAGAAAGATTACATTTTTAATAAATTTATTTACTTGTTCCATTTTCACAACTACATTCTACAAATGTAAGCAAAAATGTTTGATGTACTTCCTCAATTTCAAGATGCACATTTTTTTCATATTGTAATGTCTGAAATAAAGATGTGTCTTGCAGTGATTGACACCTTAGACCTGCTGTCAAAAAATCTCAATTTGACAATTGTAGAGAATTTGTGTGAACAAACTTCATCATATCTATTCATCCTGCTGTTATTTCAGTTGTGTGCATTGATAATTGTTTTGGATATTAAATTCAACTAAAACTCTTGAACTCTTGTTTCAGTCAAAACAAAGCTCAAAAAAATTATGCTACAGCATTGATATGAAAATACATTATGCATGAAGAAGCATAAAAATAATGCTTCAGAGCACAAATACAGTAAATATATTGTGTTCATTTATTTAAGCATTTTAATCAAAATGAAAGTTATAGACAAATTGATGGCTAAGTTAATAGAAAATTTTTGTGTTATTTTAAATTTTGAATAAGTAATGTATCTTACAATCATTGTTATTTCTTCAATTTCATGATGCTAAACATAATTATATAATAATTTCAATAATTGTATATAACAGATTTATGCAAAAGTATTTGTTATAAAATAAGTATTAATTTTGCATGCTTGACATATTTTGTTGAATTTATAAAAATATGTAATAAAGCCAATTTGTAGTCCACAGGGAACAAATAGTACAGAAATAACTCCACATTCACCTGAAGAAGAATTGGCACTGCTTCGTCGCCAAGTAAAACACCTCAGTCGAAGAGTATTAACAATTGAACAAGATAATCAACAAAGACAACAACGAGAAATTGCTATATATTCTTTAGGAGTTATATATTTTTTACTGAAAGGTTTAATCTGGCTTCATAAAAATTGGTGAAACTTTTTTAGATCAAATTTTGTCAATTTAGAAAGGAAAATGTTTAGATGTACAAAACAATGAACAGTTTTTGGAAAGCAATTTATTCTTTGTTTTAAGAGTGCCCATACACTGATTTATGTAAGTGTCATTTCATGATAAAATAGTCCATTTCTGCTGTCTTACGAGTTATCTAGTTCAATGATTTTAAACATCACAAAAGATATTTGAAGGGAGCCAAATTTAATCCTATAAATTTAAGAGATGATGTAAATGAGAAGACAATAAATTAACTCCATATCATAAAAATGTAAATATGTAATTACCTTATATAATATGAATTTTTTTTTTTAGTACAATTTAAAACTGTTCTGAAAATTAAAAATTATATTTAAAATTTTAAATTTACTTTCCCTGAAGATTTCAAATATTTTAATGTATTATGAAATCCACTGATCTGTCAGAAAACATTAATATTTAACTATTTGTGCTGAGATGCACTAATGAATTATACTTTATAAAATTTGTACATTTTATAACTTGAATCATTTGTTTTAAAATCAAATTTTTCCATGTTTTGATTAAGATCTATTAAAAATGGTGTCATAGTTTATTGAAAATAAAACTGTTCACAAATTTGTACATATTTCTTTTTATTAAATTATATCATAAGTTGATGCTTTTGCTTAATTTTGGATTTTTGTTTTCCTTGTGTTGTTATAAGATACTATTTTATTCATCATCATGCCATTTTATTTATAATCATCAATACAAATAAATCATTGGAAGATGCAAACTTAATAAATGAGTTTAATCAATGCCATATATGAAATATATTTGAAAGGATTAATGATAATGAGACAGTTTGACACAATATTTTATTTTAATGAATCCAGATGAAATGCTTCTTGTATAGATAGCTCAGTGCAATATATGAATAATAAATTTTAGTTCATATGTTGTATTTTGAAAGTCGGTGATCACCTATTTTCATCAGTGACCACCAAATTGTTGTTTAAAAAAAAACTATTATTATAAAGATTATTTGTTTATGAAAAGTAATCTTTTCATAAACTGGAAGATATAAGACAAGACGACAACATTAACAAATTCCAGCACAAATGTTTAATGGAAAGGATGAAAGCTTCTCACCTCATTAATAAGCTAGCTTCAGGGAATTCTATATGTTTATGATATTTGACCTGAAGTTGGCAAAAAATGTTCATCAATTTCATTAAATGTTTGTAATGAAATTTATTGTTATTTGTATGGTGGTTTGCTTGTCTTATAGGATTATTTGTTTATAAAAAAAATTGCATTTGTTGTCATTTCCACAATTTTCTATGCATTTTTTAGTGCTTTCAAAAATGCTTTGACATGTAATGATTTTAAATACAGTGGGTTATCGGTTCATGAACAAATTGGACAATGAACACTTTTGCAAAAGATTTTTATGTTCAGACAACAAACACCTCACAGAAGAAACAAGAAGAAGCGATGTTGCGTTTAAGATTTGTAAAACTATATTTTAATGGGATCTATACATGGTTTGTGGAACGAGACTTTCACAGTTGTATACATAACTTTTTTTGCACTAGTTAATTTCTGTTCTCTGAATTTTTATAAGTGCTTTTCTGAACTTTTTATTTAAAAAAAACTGATATTATGGGGCCTAGAAAGAGTGGAGTGTCAAGAACTGTGTTCACTATAGAAACTAAGCAAGAGATAACAGCCAAGGTAGAGAGTGGGCAGAAGATGTCTGATATTGTAAGCAGATGACTTCAATAGGTCTACAGTAGATACAATCTTAGCTAAGAAAGATAGTCAAAAAGGCTCAAGCAGATAAAGGAGTAACAAAAATCACATCTGAGAAACAAGGATGTGCCATCCATGAAAAAATGGAGAGATCGCTTTTAGTTTATTACATGTAAATAAACGTAGTAATAAAGTATATAATTTTTAATTTATTTTTTGGGGTCTCCAGAATGAATTAATCAAATTCCCACAAAAACCTATGGTAAATTGATAATCACTTAACGAACAATTCAGATAGTGAACATGATCTTGAAACAAGTTATGTTCGTTAACTGATCACCCACTGTATGTGCATTTTTAAAATCACTGTTGTACCACTATCAAATTCAGGTGTCTATCATATACACCTGAATTCAATAGATCGCCTAAAGATGGTAGTTGTATACTATTGAAAGTGCTAGCAGACAAGTTCATTCTCCAAGACTCCACTCCTGTAATGCCACAACACATAAGTGTTATAATCATATGATGAGTTTTATAAAAAATAAAAATTGTAAATTCTAATAATTATTTAAATTCAATCCCACTTGACATATGACCCCTATCTATCTCCCCATACCAGTGACCTTTAACCACCAAAATTTAATAGCATCAATACCCCTAATACAAAAATCTCCCTGCAAAATTTCAGAAATTTTCAACAACAAAGGCAGATGATTAATTATTGAATAATTATTTCATGGAGTTATTAAACTACAAAGTAGGTGAACAAAATTGTGGCATACTCAAAAACATTGAACTTAGGACGTTTTGCATTTCTTGACATTTCGAGGTTATGAGTCCATTTTTTGACTGTTTGCCATACTTTCCCTCTGTTATATATAATAGCTATGAAAGTAAAATACTGATTCATCCATTTGAAATTTGATGGTATGATTCTAATAATCAACTAAAGCAGATTTTACTGTTTTTAATGAGTCCTTGCAGTTGATTGTAATAACCACTAATCACGATAAATTATTATTATAGTATTTCCTGTGCAAAAAAAAACACCTAAACACCAACCATACCAAATGCAAGTAGTTGCAAACTGCAACTATGTAAATGAATGAGTTTTTAAGAGCTCAACTGCACTTATTTGATTGGCTAGTAGATATGTAAACACAGAATTTTAAATATTACTTTAAATAATATTTCATGAGAAAATATCTCAGTTATTACATAGTGAAAATTTGTTGTAAACTGTGTAGTAAAAGTTGTCTTGATGGTGATGTTATCCGCCTGTGCCTAAGGTTTGCAGAATGTCTCTTTTTTTCAAGCTGCTAACTTTCAGAGGCCCCAAACAGGTGCTGCTTGCACCTGTGATAATCCACCACTATATGGCTCCTACTTTGAAAGATGCTCTTGTCAATTTATTCAAATGATATTTACTTGTGCTAATAAGTATGGTTTTGTCAGAATATTCAACTGATTTAAGAAAATACATCATTCTTCTCAACAAATTTTTTAAACTGACATATTTGTGTGTACCTGATTAAATAAATTTTGTTTTCAGATTTGTAAAGAAAATTTAACAATGATATGTTAAATTTTCTTTACAATGTTGTGAAATATTGCCATAAAGTTACATTGTGCAGATATTGCACATATCTGCACAATGTAACTTTCATTAAGGCCGAAATTGCATAATAATTGTTAGTCATTATCAGTTGACATCATCCCTTACGGGTAGTCTCAAGCAAGGCTGCAGAGTCAGTAAAAAAACACTCCTGATAATTTTAATTAGCTGACTCCAACTCCAGCAAAATTAAATACCAAGTCATTTTATGGGAAGCAAAGGCACTCATAGGGGGTTACCCTACTCTGAAAGGAGCCCCAGGCATTTACCCAAATACTTTTATAGTTAGTATTTTTAATATTTAACTTACATTAATATTTATTTGTATAAAAAAGTTAACTTTTAACAAATATTTAATAAGAGGAAAAAAGGGGAGCGATAAAATTCTACATCTATATATCTTTATTCTACAGCTTTTGCACTTTAATTTCACCTTTCCAGAAAAGTTAGTCCAACTAAAAAGTGTGCAATCTAGCTACTTCAGTCCCTTGTTCAGAAAAGAAAAATGTATATTCTGATCAATTAGCCTGGCTCATTCAGAAAAATAGAGTACTTATTTAGAGCAGAGATAATAAAGGAATGAATCAAAAATATTCAAATTCAATTGGGTCAAAATAATTTAACTACTAAACACAAATACTACAANAAATATCAACTTCGCTTGGCAAGAATTAACTGATAAATGCACGAATGAAGTGTGGAAGAAGTTTGGCTGAAGGTATCCAAGAATTCTCAACGAGAAGAGCCCATCACTGTATCGTTAGTTTGACCACATTCAACCTAATCAATATAGCAGGACTAGGATATATAGATGAGCAAGATATTGAGGAGTTACAGCAGGTTTCTGGTGAGAGCCTTAACAACGACGGCCTTCGAGAACTAGCAGAACACAGAATTCATGTGGAACTGGAAAATAGAGATTCTGAAAATGAAGAACCCAAAAAATTTCTATACAGATTTCAAAACGTAGTAAAAGTTTCCCAAAATCGTTGATCAAATTGTAGCAAATGATCCAGATTTTGAAAAGAGTGCAAAAGCAAGACAAGGCGTTTTGGATGCGATCTTCTGATACCGACATTTGCTTAAGGAAAGAAAAAAGCAACAATTGAAACTTCACAACTTTATTGCAAAAGAACAAGAATTTCAGTAAAGTCAGGACCTTCATCACAAAAAATGAACTTTTACATTTGTGTGCATATGTTTGTGTTATTTAACATATATTATTATACAAATTACTATAAAAATAACTTTAAAATAACCTCATTTAATGCTGTTTTGTTTAGTGCTTTGTCGTCTAGGAATGCATCACCCGCGTTAAGTAGGTTCTTACTGTATATACTTTGATCAATTACAAAATATAAAAACATTTTAAAAAATTATTAAATATAAAATAAATTTTCTTTCATTTAAATAAAAAAAAAAGCTAGATTAAATTTAAAATGCTAAAGTTGGATTTGACACATTTTTCCTGACTCAGACTCCACAGCTCTGGTCTCGAGGGCCATCATTAATTAACACCAATTACTGTTCTGTTTTATATCTGAGCAATTGAGACTTTACAGAAAAATTTTCATTTATGATCCAAAAGGTTATCATTTTTCTGATTTAAAATTAAAAGATCTTGCATTCACTACACAGTAAATCTTACTTTTTGACAGACATATTCAATTTAATTTTGAATATATTCTTGTATCATTAAAAAGTTAATTTTTTTAAATGAAATTTGGAATTACAGTATACAGTCGACCCCCCCTATAACACTGTTGATTATTCCATTTTATATGAATTCCATGTTGTACGGATCACTTAGATTTTACAAATACGTGAGCCATTCACAGCCTGGCGCACGTATTTGTAAAATCTAAGTGACTTGTACAACATGGAATTCATATAAAACGGAATAATCAACAGTGTTATAGGGGGGTCGACTGGTATAATAAATTACATAACTTTACAGATATAATAAATTACAGATGATTATTTTGTAAATTTGAAATTAAATTCAAAGGTGTTAATTTAATCTCAAAAATTTTGTTTGATACTCATTTTTTTCAAATGTTCTAAACTTTAAATCAAACACATTTAGAATTAAACAGTTGATAATGCCTCAATTACACAAAATTGCTCTATTTCTAAACTGTGTTATTTAATTGATTATACAAAACAAATTACTTTCTTAAGATTTGGAATCCCAATTGAAACAATAGGGTAGCAAAGCAAGCAATGAAGTAATTGTAATTATGAAAATTTCACTATTTTACTATATATCATTATAACAAATGCCAATATAATGAAACAACAAATTAATGAGGGATTTAACAAATATCACTAGAAACCTTTCACAAAAGAAAATCTTTAAAACAATCTGTAAATGTCTTCTGCAGTTATGATACAATGAAAATTCATGCCAGATTGGGTCATGTCATTCCAATACACTGTGTGTAATCAAAATCTTTCCATAAATTCCCAAAGACAGTACAATAGAAAATTTCCTAATTAAATGACTATTCTGAAAACTGATTACAGGCAGCTGCTGGTTTGTTCAAGACAGAATGTTTGTTACAAAATTTGTCAGACATGAAATAGTTCTGGCAGTAAAGGTTCGACCTGCCACTCTGGTGGTTCTGGGTTTGTATATTTGCATGAATTGGCTCAAATATACATTGGGTCTCATTCCTCACTGGTTCTGATCAAACCCATAATGAGCACAATTAAAGATTTTCTTGATGCCCACAAAGCAGATTAAAAAGATGGAAAAGTTTCAAAATTGTATAAGAAACTATAGCAAATATTTTTAACTATAGCAAATTACAAATAGAATTTGTAAGTAAAATTTGGGTCTAGTACATGCACAGTACTAAATTTGATCAGAGTCCTTACTATCAAGGTTAAAAAAAGTTTCATTATTAATTTAAAGAACAGAACTTTTTCAAAATTGTCATTTTGACTGTTTCAGTGTAATGAAATTTAATTACAACAAATTACCTTCACAATTTCGTTATACTAACATCCTAAATCTGCAAATAATGTTAAGCATTACAGACACACAGATTATATTTTGTTTATAGATTAGTGAAATAATATACAGTCGACCCCCTATAACACTGTTGCTTATTCCATTTTATATGAATTCCATGTTGTACGAGTCACTTAGATTTTACAAATACGCGAGCTGTTCACAGCCCAGCACACGTATTTGTAAAATCTAAGTAACTCGTACAACAAGGAATTCACATAAAATGGAATAATCAACAGTGTTATAGGAGGGTCAACTGTAATTGTCAAATTTTTCATTTTATTAGTGGATCCTTGATCTGCAAGAAATTAATAAGATATTTAGATAGATAGATTGCCAGTGTGCACTTGTGCATGCACTAGTTTCATTAGTCACCTGACAAATACAGGTTCTTCCAAAAAGAATGCTACCATTTTAAATTATATTAATTATTGTCCAGGAATGTTTTAGTATACATTAAAACATTGGAAAACAGTCCAAGTTTCAGACTTGCCCATTACAATTTCTCAATGCATGCATTTCATGTCACACATCCAACTGATACTCAAATTCTTCCTATGATCACCACAGTATATCTGTTGTCACTCCTTGACAGTCAATTCTGTGGCTGTATAGAATTGTTCATGTTGCACAAAGACAAGTGATTCCGACTTTTCAAAGAGCTTCTCTGTTGTGATGTCACCATTTTCATTTAAGACACTTCTAGTAGTAGATAATAAGATGTCTGAATGCAGTTTGTCAGTTTCATTTCCCATCTTACTATATTGATACTTCTTTCATAATTAACATAATTACACTAATTTAAAATAGAGTACTAATTTTAGACCATGTAACAATTTGTATTACTTATATCATTAGAAGAAGTAGCTTACACTTTTTTTAACCAAAGTATATATTTACAGAAATACTTAATGGGTATTGGTTTTGATAACATTTTTAATAAATGAAAAAATAAATTTTACATAAAAACAGAAAAGAATCAGATCAGTTGCATGTTCTTCCACTTTAAAATATTGTTAATATTAAAACAAAAAAATGAAACAAACAATTTTATCACACAAAAAAATGGCATTTAATACATACAAATAGGAGAGCACAGTACCTAGGTAATGTCATTAACAAATATCAAAAAGTTAACATTTAATTCCACAATCCTTTACTATAAAAACTTCAATATATTATTTATATAAATTCAATATCAAGCATATTCCGATACATTTATATAAATAACATATTAAAAAGTGAAAATAGATTAATTTTAAAACTGTGTGTGTTTCATTTACTCATAAGAAACAAAAATTTTCAAAAAATAAAATTTTTATATAACTTCTAAAAACTGGTACCAAATTTTATTACATAAAAGTAGTGTGTCATTTTTTCATTTATTTACAAAACAAAAACTGATAATGTAATAATTTTTTGGATTTCTGAAACTTACAGAATTGTACAATGCCATTTTTAGAAAATTAACCCTCAACAATTTTAAGGATAAATCTTCCTAGATTTATGTTTTTCTATAATTTCTTGAATTTCTGGACTATTTAGAGGTGCATTGGTAAAGAGAGAACCAACAAATGCATGAGTGCCCCACAGATGATGTGATAATACTTTGCAACAACCGAGATCTTCGATAACGAATCCGAAATGTCTGTATCTTTCGTCAGTCTCGAACATAGTTGCATTTGTGTATGGTCCTAAGTACTGTAAAATATATTAAAAGAAGGTTAAAACTTAGCATAAGGAATAAATAAAAATAAATGATGGCAATTTTAACTTAAATTACACATACAGGTCTTCCACTTGAAGGATCAATAAAATCTGCCCAATATCCGACTTCATTCAGTTTTGCACATATATCTTCTGCAGCTTTTATAAACTAAAAAGTAAATATATAATTTATTTTAAAGCTGGTGATTTAGGAAAATTCTGTTTTATCAGACATTTTTATAAAAACATTTAAAAATTAAATAAATTTTTGTTCCATTATCTACTAAAATTAATTCACTAAAATAATTATTGTCTGTACATCTTTATAATTATATATATATAGCCAGATTTATACAGGATCTTCTAAAAAGAATGCTACCATTTTCAATTATTGTAATTATATTAATTTTTACCAGAGAAGTATGCAATATACACTAACCAAAAGGAGATTGAAACTCAAACAGTTAATCTATCAATTGGTGCACATTTCATACTTTTCAGGTAATATTTAACATAATTACAGTAATAGTAGCATTCTTTTTGGAAGATCTTTTTGATTAAGACTTTTATATACACATTATACTTTATCATATTATATTACAAATAATTTACTCACATAACCAATTAATTCTTCTCTTTCTAATTCTATCTCTTCACTCCAGGTACTCATATCATGTCTCGTCTTTTGACATAATGTAATTACAGTCAGTTTTTCTTTTTCTATCTCTCTACCAGGAAAAAGATCTGCAAAATCTGAGAAAAAAACTTAATATTAAAATAATAATTAATGCTATTTGTAAGTTTTTATATCTATTTTATTGAGTAATGTACCTACATCAAAAACACTAATAGTAAATGTTAATGAAAATTTATGCAATTTTTACTCTGGTGTTGTTTATTTGTAAATTAGACTTTTTACTATATAGAAAAAAGTGAATTGACAAACTATAGGCTTGCATATCTTTTTATTAATCATTACTGTGAGGTAATCAGGTAACCACAAAAGAAAACTGTAAAAAGAGAATTAGGTGAAGAAAGATGATGATTTATTGCAGAAAAAAAGACGTAATATGAATGAGTTTAAAAACTAAAGAATTCAGAGAAACATAAAATAAAAGTCCAAAAGAGAGCAGCAGAAGTGTGGAATGTTTTAGAGAATCTCAAAACTAAAAAATATACACTTAATAAGAATGGCCCAAGCAGACGGCAGACAATATGTTGGATATCTCAATTATTAACAGAATTTTATTTTAAAAATAGTATAACTAAAAAAAAATTACAAAAAAAAAAATTTATTTTGCTCTGTTAAAGCCTAACATAATTTATTGAGCATATTTATGCAAGCATTTGCACTTTTATTATTAAGTGAAAAAAAACTTTAGATAACATATTGTACTGTTGTTTTAAGTAACATGAGAATGTAGCAGTTATGTGCTAACATGTAATTTTTCTTTTTAGACTAAAGGAAAACCTGTTAACTAAGCTTCAAATTTTTCATTCAACTAAAGTAGGCAAAAGAACATCAAATTATGGAACAGCATTGTTTTTGCAATGAAGCAAAGTTTGAGGTTTGCATTAAAAGCAACAGAAAGAAGGAAATCAAAAAATATTTTCATTCCAAGTATCTTAATTATAACAAGCAAGTTGTAATAAGCATTATGGTATAAAGTTGCATGATTGCTCAAAACTTCAGCACTGCATCTTATCAATGAAACAGTAAATGCAGAAAAATATCAGTGGATCTTTCAAGAAATCCTTCTATCATACCTGGAAAAACTGCAGAACCTAAATTTTCTGATAGGATGGTGCAAAGTTATCATACTGCCAAAATGAGGCATGGCTTGCAAATCACAATACAGTAGAGCGTCGATTTTCCGAATCAATTGGGGACTGGGGTTGTTCGTATAACTGATATTTCGGATAACTGATTTATGTACGAAAAAATAGTTTAACGTATCCGATGTTGAAATTTTTCTCCGTTGCGTGTCGCTTCGTGTTGAATTTTCGTCGATGTTAAGTCTAACAAAGACTATTGTATCGTTAAAAATTATTTTTTTATTTTGTATAGACAAAGTAAATATATTGAAAAATATAAAAACAATAAAAAATTATACTTCAGATGTTAATTTAGTATCAAAAACGTAAAATATTTGAGTAGCCCAAGACATAGCCAAAGATTGAAGCGCCACAGCACTGGCGAAAATTTAAATTTGCCGACTGGAATTCTTTCGGATGATTGACTTTCGGA